CCGAAGTGAAAGAAAGTATTAAAGCTATAAACTAGAAAGCTTGGAGTTTTTAGGTTTAGCTCTGCTGCTCTCTAGAATGTCTGAGTTACCTTGAAGGTATACGGGGTCTTCTTATTTATAGGTATAGGAGGTCGGTTGTTGCGACCTCTTTTTCCTTTTTCTTCTTGCGTGAATATTTTCATATTTGCAATATGGAAACATCCCTTATTCTACGAAAGATATGGAAATTTTCCTTTATCCTTGAATATTCTTCCGAGTTGATTTGATATTATTGGGATCAATGAGCATCTTCAAGCAGTTTTCCTTGTTTGATTAGGTCGGTGCATCCTTCTAAGTCTTGATGAGCTTAAGTTATTGCTAGAAAAAGCTTTTTTAGGAAATGTGCTCATTTCTCCTCTAACAATTACAACACATAACTTTTATGTTTTTACTAGCTTTGCATTTGTATACAAATTTTATAATATATCTATCAATCTTTATAAATTCGATTCCTAAGTACAACAATCCTTTTACTATGAACTTGCAATTTGATTATTGAAATATTTTGGGTAAAAGTTTACGTTGTACATCAAAGTGCCCTTGGCATATGAGTTCTGGCACCTTTCTGGAGATCTAGAATCCTTAGTGGACCTCATTCTTGCCGACTTGGGGGCCACTCGTCCCAGATCGGAAGGCCCTCACTCGGGTCCATCTACCAGAGATGGTTCCTGGTCCAACCGTGAGGATCAACCTTGTGCTGCTGTTACTATCATCAGGGCCTTGACCAAGATAGAAAACGTGACCTGATGTACTCCTCCCATCATCCACATCGATATTGTGGCTGCTGTCACTGTATCCGATGATCCGCCTTGATCCATCCCTTTTGAAAAATAGTCCCAAGTTTGTAGTTCCCTTTACATATCTCAGAACATGTTTCAGTGCTTGTCTGTGACACTCTCTCAGACTCTGCATATAACGATTTAGAACTCCAACAGAGAAAGCTAAGTCAGGCCTTGTGTGAAGCAAATAACGCAGACAACCTATAGCCCTCCTATATTCCGTAGCATCAATTTCAGGTTCATCTTCTGCCTTAGACAATTTTAAACCAGACTCCATTGGTACATGAGTCGAGTTGCAATTGTCCATTTTAGTGTCAACTAGGATTCCTTTAGCATATCATTCTTGTTTTATTCTGATCCCATATGATCATTGAATCACTTATATGCCAAGATAGTAAGTTAGCTTCCCTAGATCCGACATCTCAAATTTCCTTTACATGTCACTCTTGAATTGTTCGATGATTGTTTGTGATGATCCTGTTACAAACAGATCATCTACATAAATCGCTACAATCAAGATGTCCTTTGTAATCTTCTTGAGATAAATGGAAGTTTCTTTTAAGCATCGCTTAAAGCCCATCTCCTTTAAGACATGATTCAGCTTCACATTCCAAGCTCTAGGAGCCTGTCGCAGACCATATAGTGCTTTATAAAGTCTGTACTCGACCTTCTTCTCCTTTCTTCTCAAAACCTTCAGGCTGGCTCACATAGACAAGTTCGCTTAGATCCCCGTTTAGGAATGCTGTCTTGACGTCTAGATGGTGTATTTCCCAGCCTTGTGTTGCTGCTAAGGCGATGAGTAACCGAATTGTTTCGAGTCGTGCTACTGGTGCGAACACTTCGTCGAAATCAATTCGTGTTGTTGTACATAACCTTTCGCCACAAGCCACACCTTGTATTTATTCACTGTGCCATCTGCATTCCTCTTTACTTTGTAGATCCACTTCAAACCTATCGGTTTCACTCCAGCTGGTTTATCAACTAGCTCGCAAGTTCTGTTTCGGATGATAGAATCCAACTCAGCTATCATTGCGTCAATCCATTCTTGCATCTCTGCAGCTTCGGGATAGTTTTCAGGTTCTCCATCAACTGTAAGCAGAAGTCTTTCGCCCTCTTGATTTGCAAACATGACATAATCACTAAGATATGTCGGAAGATTTACTTTACAACCATATCTAGTGAAAACTGGTTCCGGATCCTCTTCATGATTCTCGTCATTCTGTCCGTTATCCCCTTCTGCATCATTTTGATCAACTTGATTGTGCACTTGATTCTCATCCTCATTGTTCTGAACGTGATTCTGTCCTTCAGCTTCCTCAGGACCATATCGTGGTAGTGTGAACATTTCCGGTTCACCATCTCTCTCGTTCCTCAATGTAGACCAATCCCATGCTCTGTTTTCTTCGAAAACTACATCCCTGCTCACCGTTATCTTACTAGATATCTGATCAAACAGCTTATAAGCCTTAGAAACCGGCTCAGTTCCAAGGTAAACTATTCTCTTTGATCTGTCATCTACTTCTTGAGGTGTGGACCTGTTATTTTCATGTGGGCTACACAACCAAAAACACGCAAGTGTTCGATATTTGGTTTTCTGTTTGTGAAGCTCTCGTATGGGGTCTTGTCTTTCAACGCTTTTGAAGGGACTCTATTAATGAAATACGCCGAGTTTCGCACAGCTTCTCCCCATAAGAAGTTTGGGATCTTCATCCCTTTGAGCATACTCCTCGTCATCTCCATTAGGGTTCGGTTTCTCCTCTCTACTCCGTTCTGTTGCGGCGTATATGGTGCAGTTAGGTGTCTCGAGATTCCATTGTCTTCGCAGAATCTGTTGAATTCCAGTGAGGTAAACTCTCCTCCTCTATCGGTTCTAAGGGTTTTTATCGCGAAACCCGTTTGCTTCTCGACGATTTCCTTTAACCCTTTAAATCGATAGAAGATCTCACTCTTCTCCTTTAACAACAGAGCCCACATGAATCTCGAGTAATCGTCTATGAGGACAAAGACGTACCTGTTGTTAGCTGGTGTTGGCGGAGATATCAGCCCACACAAGTCTCCGTGAATTAACTGTAGAGCTTGTGTAGCTCAAAATGTGGTCTTAATCGGGAATGAGGCTCTTGTTTGTTTTCCCGAGAGACATGCTTTGCAAACCTATGCGTCATTGATCTTGTTCGGCATGCCTGCTACCATCTCCTTTCTCACTATGTTAGACATAACTCCGAAGCTTATATGTCCCAACCGTATATGCCAAGTCTTTGTCAAATCTTCGTTTTGTATGTGGAAACACTTAGGGTAGCTTATTTGTATTGGTGTTTTGTAGAGTCGATTTCCTGATCGTTTAACCTGTACGAGTAGTCGCCCATGCGGATCTATCAGTTTCAGTATGTCACCCTTCATATGCACTTCACACCCATTCTCGGTCGCTTGTCCAAGACTCATGATGTTGTGCTTCAAATCAGGTATATAATAGATGTCTTTTAGTGCTCTTTTTTCACCATTCTTACCTACAAACACGATGGTGCCTTTCCCCATAATCTCAACATTAGATCCATCACCAAACTTCACTTTCCCTTTGATATTTTCATCTAATGTTGAGAAGTATTCTCTGTTTCCTGTCATGTGGTTACTTGCGCCGTTATCTAAGTACCATATACTCGCCTTGTCTTCGATGATGTCATAGCGTTTTGGGAACACCTTATTCTCATTCAAGAATACTATCTCATGAATGTAAAGGGCTTCTGGTTCCTCTGTTTCATTCAGGTTTGCTTCCTGTTTCTTTGGCAAATCCGGGCATGTTGACACATAGTGGCCTGATTTATCGCACCTGTAACAGATTACTTTGCTCATGTCTTTTGTTCCTGTTTTGAGCATTGTCTCTGTTTTCTCCTCCTGAGTTCCTGTTTGAAAGACCCCTGCCTCTGCCTCTGCCACCGCCTCGGCCTCTGGCTCTGCCACCGTAACCTCCGCGGTTACTCTGTTTGCTGCAACCATTCTGATCATTGCTTGACCACATAAGCTTGCTCTGTTCATCACTTTGTTGCCCCTCACCCACACGCTCTTCGTATGCCTTTAATCTCCCCACAATATCTTCAAATCCTGTTGTGTTTAGATCGAGAACTTGTTCTAGTGATGCAACGATCTGAATATATTTGTTTCTCGGGAGTCTTTTCAGAAACTTCTTCACCATCTTTGGTTCTTCTATTACGTTGCTAAGGGAAGCTGCCTTTGTTGCAAGTCCTGATATTCTTCTAGCGAAGTCATCAACAGAGTCGTTATCGTTCATTGTTAACTTATCGAACTCTGTCATCAGGGTTTGTAATCTTGCTTCTCTCACGCGATCTGCTCCAAGATGACGTGACTTAATGGCATCCCATACTCCTTTGGACGTTTCTTGCTCTCCTACTTGCAAGATGAGAGACTCGAGAATTGACTGGAACAGAAGAGCTACCGCTGCATAATTCTTCTTTGGATCAGCAAGTCCCAGATTAATGGTTTCCCATACTTCATTAACTCGAAGTATGACTCGCATCCTCATCGACCAAACAGTATAGTTGGTTGATGTCAGAATAGGGCATTGGATGGATGAGGTTTCAAGCTCCCTTGCTCGCGGTTGCGGATTGTTTACTTCCGCCATCGCTTATGTACCAGCTGGTTATATGTTTGAGACTTCCTCTTGAAGCTCTGATACCAATTCAAGTCGATAATCACACAAACACAAGAGTATAAAGAACGGCTCTTCTTTATTAGATTTAGAAAACTTCACAAAAACTAAACATTTCCCTTATGTCTTATAAAATAACTCTCCATAAGTTCTCTATTTATAGAATCAAGCAACTCTTTATTCTATTAGAAAAGATGTGTTTTCCATTCTTACTATTTCCTATTCCTCTTAAAGATAACTTCTAGTCTAAAATATTGGAATTATCCAACAGTCTCAAGATGAGAGGCACCTTTACGGGTCAGTTTCTGCTACACGCCTTGGGAGACCATCACAACTTTTACTCTAAGTTTGCCGTTGGTGCTTTTCGTTAAACTAAGTACTAGTCTTCACCAATTGTTCAGCATTTTGCGAGATAAAAATAGGTAGTGTATGTTCTTTGGGATGGTCAAAATCCATTTGTATTCTATGTTGTTTTTGAAAATGTACCTTACCTTCTCCTTCGAAGTCTGGGCAGCAATGACTTATTTTGTTAGTTGTTATTATTATTCCTAGATAATAAAATTCGAATCCACTTACAAAAATACCAGAGGTCCGTAGCAAGACGTTTCAGCATTTCTGCGATTACGTTTCACAAAATATCTTTGAAGGCTACCGAAAAACCAACTTCTTCGTCTTTCTCTCGAGTCTGCTCAAGTAAAACGACAAGTCCAGAACTCATGGGAGATCATCAGAACGACCAAAACGATGACGTTTTCTCCTTCTTCACCACTCCCAACGACACCGACTCCTCCGCGGCGACTCCGTCCACGCTTTTCAACCGTTGTTCATACTCCTCTTCGTCTTCCTCCGGTGACGAATCTCACCCTTCAGGTCCTTCAGTCGACGACAGCAACAAACGAATCGACTACATGATCCAATTTCTCGACCGGAGACTAAGCGAAGACGGCAATTTCGACGGGATCGGAGCGGAGAACGACGGCGATGGCTCCGATTCTCTGCCGGAGTTCGTTGGGAAGTGTGGTGGAACCGGGATCTTCAAGGTTCCGATTAGGTCTGCAGTTCATCCGAATCGGCCGCCGAGTCTCGAGGTTAGACCACATCCATTGAGGGAAAGTCAAATCGAACGGTTCTTAAGGACGATGACGAGTATTGAGAGACAATTGTGGGCCGGAGGTGAGGACGGTGGATTAAAGGTATGGGACTTCGATGAACTGTACGGAAGCGGGCGGAGTTTAGAGGCGGAGGATACGGCGCCGTATAAGCAGACTCTGGAGATGGAGATTGGTTCTTCGGTTGTTTGTATGATCGGAGATGAAGGTAGTAGAGCTGTTTGGAGCGGGCATAGAGATGGAAGGATCAGATGTTGGAAACTTAGAGCTGATCATGGGATTGAAGAAGCCCTATCGTGGCAAGCTCATCGTGGTCCGGTTCTCTCCATTGCCATCTCGTCATACGGTGAGTTTTAAGTTTCTAATATACTTGCTTAGACATTTTAGATCGGATTAGGGGGAATCTATAGGATAAATGAATTGGTAATTAAAAATTGTTAGCAGAATAAAAAATTTCGTAGAATAAACTGAAGACATTCATGTATTCGATGTTCTTTGGTGGATAGATTATCTGGTTGAGTTAGCATTTCACTACGGATGATTGAATTGGGTTTAACATTCTCTCATGACACGTTTTTGGTAACAATTATCTAGGAGATATATGGTCAGGATCTGAGGGAGGCGCTCTTAAAGTTTGGCCATGGGACGCTCTTGAGAAGTCTGTTTCTTCGACTATAGAGCAAAGGCACATGGCTGTGTTATCTGTAGAGAGATCGTATATTGACCCTAGGAACCAGGTTTCGGTCAATGGATTTGCTAATACATTAACTTCAGATGTTATGTTCCTCGTATCTGATCATACAAGGGCGAGAGTATGGAGTGCTAGTCCCCTGACGTTTGCTTTGTGGTAAAATGAAATTTTTTTTTTGTCCTTTTTATTTGTTTATATACATAAGCCTTTCTGATTTTGATTGGTCATCAAGAACATCCCACAAACTTATGAGAATTGTTTTTTTTGTCTACAACATCTCTTGTCTGTTAGCTCTGTGATAGTCACACCGATTAAGTTTTCATGTATAGCGTGCTGCTTTCTTATATTTTGTTTGTTTATTGCTTGTCAGGGATGCTCGTACACGGGATTTGATCAAAGTATTTAATATTGACGGGCAGCTCGAGAATCGAACTGATGGTTCTGTATTTCCTGATTTTGGGACTGAGGAAGAGGGGAAGATGAAGATGACTGCTTCAAAGAAAGAGAAAGCTCAATCTTCTCTTGGTTTCTTTCAGCGGTCTCGTAATGCCCTTATGGGAGCAGCTGATGCTGTTCGTCGTGCTGCAACGAAAGGAGGGTTTTGTGACGATAGCAGGAGAACTGAAGCTATGGTCATATCAGTTGATGGAAACATTTGGACCGGAAGTGCAAACGGCGTCCTTATGCGATGGGACGGAAATGGTAATTGCTTGCAAGAGTTCTCATACCAGCCCTCTGGTATTCTCTGCATGTTCACTTTTTGTTATCGGGTGTGGGTTGGTTATTCCAGCGGCACTGTTCAGGTTTTGGATCTTGAAGGAAAGCTGCTTGGAGGATGGGTGGCTCATAGTGGCCCTGTAATAAAAATGGCTATTGGTGGCGGTTATTTATTTACCCTGGCGAACCACGGAGGTATTCGAGGATGGAATGTTACTTCTCCGGGGCCCCTTGACAATGTACTGCGGGCCGAGTTGGCTGGGAAAGAATTCTTATATTCAAGGATAGAAAATCTGAGAATATTAGCTAGTACATGGAATGTTGGAGAAGGTAGAGCATCGACCGACTCGCTTGTATCTTGGTTAGGCTGTGCTGCAACTGGAGTTGATATTGTTGTTGTTGGACTGCAAGAAGTTGAAATGGGAGCAGGAGTTCTTGCAATGTCTGCAGCAAAAGAAACAGTAAGTTTTCGTTTACCTTATGCCACTCTCCAGGCCTCCACGAATTTTATTTAAGTTCTACAATGACTTTCTTTAACAAAATAGTATATCGCATGAACATTATCAGGTTAACTCCCTTAATTGATTGGTCATTTTTTTGTGTAATTCTCTAGCCTTTGTTTTGGTTTTCATTACTTTTGTTACACATTTTTGTAGAGGGATAAGTTTTATATGAACGTATTTGTAAATTGTGCTTCTGGTTTATTCTGTTTTCCCAAATGCAGGTGGGACTTGAGGGTAGTCCACTTGGTCAGTGGTGGATGGATATGATTGGGAAAACTTTGGATGAGGGCTCATCTTTTGTTCGTGTTGGGTCTAGGCAGCTTGCAGGGCTGCTCATTTGTGTATGGTTAGTATTATGTTTTACCGTAACTTTTTCTCTGTTCATTTATTGTAATTATCAGTTGCTATGAATGTTGTGATAATTCATCTTTACTGTTGAAGCATACGTCATGTTACCTGTGCTCATTTGAGTCGTTTAATTCTCAGATGCCAAATGATATTTTTCAATTCTGCTTTTGACTAATGTCCACAAAGCAGAGCGATTCTCACGTATGCATAAGAACAGATTGTTCGTATGAACATTTAATTCGGAGTTCTTTGATTTGTATTTAGTTTTTAAGATATTACTTCAATTTCTAATCATGTATGCTTTCTCCAATTTCTCTTGTTAGTATTAGATGAACTTGATAAGTTAAAGTCTTATAGAGGAAATGATTTTTGTCAGGGTTCGACATGACCTTAAACCTTACGTGGGAGATGTTGACGCTGCTGCGGTTCCTTGTGGTTTTGGACGAGCAATTGGTAATAAGGTATGGCACCGTATTGCAAAAGTTGCTCGCAAATCTTATGAGTAATGAAAGTGGTGTCATAAAACGGAAAGTTGAACAGTACAATGATCTGTTAACTTAAATGGTTCTTCTCCTTTTCCATTTATTTATCATTTAACTCTAATGGCAGAACAATTTCTTTTCTTTTTAGGGAGCTGTAGGTGTGCGACTCAGAATGTATGATCGAGTACTGTGCTTTGTAAACTGTCATTTTGCTGCACACTTAGAAGCTGTTACTCGACGAAACGCTGACTTCGACCATGTTTATCGAACAATGGCCTTCTCACGTCAGTCTAGTTCACTCAATCCAGGAGCTGGTAATATGCTGCGAAATATATTTCTATCATGCTGTGCTGTCTCCTTGGCTTATCAATTTTGGCCTATTCATTGGTCTCTCTTATTATTGGTTTCCTCCATTGCAGCTGGGGCTTCATTTGGTGTCTCAGTACCTCGTGGTGCCAATGTATGTATTTCCTTTCATTTTCATAGGGTATAGTGTGAAATTTCTTCAAAAAGTATTAAGAGATGTATTTTCACAGGCTGTTGTTGTCAACACAGTTGACCCAAGACCTGAACTCTCTGAGGCAGACATGGTCGTATTTCTTGGAGATTTTAATTACCGCCTGGATGATATAACTTATGATGAAACAAGGGATTTCATTTCTCAAAGATGCTTTGATTGGCTAAGAGAAAAAGATCAGCTACATGCTGAAATGGAAGCAGGGAATGTTTTTCAAGGGATGCGTGAAGCAATTATCAGGTTCCCTCCAACATACAAGTTTGAAAGGCATCAAGCTGGTTTAGCAGGTTAGTGACTTAGTTCCTCTTTGTCGCTTCCGCTAGTTTTTAAATCGATACTGTTTCCCTGGTGAATCATAGTTTAAGCTGATGCTCCAAATCTTCCGAAGGATAGAGAGTAAAATTGACTATTTCTCTCATCTGGTTGGAGGAAATTATCTGGTGGCTTCTATGATATGGTTATGAGTTGCTTGGCAATGGGAAGAGGCTAGATCTCTGATAACAGTACAAAAATATCCATTGCCGTTTGGGGGTTTCAAGGGCATTGGATTGATGAAACCGTATTTTACAATTGAAGCTGTGTTTTCTGCAGGATATGATTCTGGGGAAAAGAAGCGTATTCCTGCGTGGTGTGATAGGATTCTATATCGCGATAGCAAGAAACATTTGGGAGCTCACTGTAGTTTGGATTGTCCAGTGGTGTCTTCTGTATCACAGTAAGTTTCATGTTAGTTAACAGTAGAAAGCATACTGGAGATCTAGGCTAACCTTAATGTTCCATATGTTTTAGTAGATCAGTAAAAGATTATGAAGGGTGTGTCATTCCTCGTCTTATGCATGAGTTATAGCTTCTTAAGCTCATTGGCGATAACAAATTATCAACTTGCTGTTTTCTTTCTAATTTCTTCACTCCTGGTACTCTGATTGCAATATTCACCAGCTGTTTACATATTAACTGAAGCCTTATCTGCCTATGATTACATTGAAAAAAGAAAAACATTTTGTAACCTGTTTAGAGAAACGGAGTCTGTATAGGCATTTCTGGTTTTCAAAAGTGTTTCACAGGCTTTATGACTTTACCCTACATGATTCTCTAGGACTATGAAACATGGCATTTCTAAGATGTTCTATCATATCAGTTTTTAATGCTTCTTTGTGCGAAGATTAAGGTTACTTTATAATTTCAGAGAGTTGGGTTTAGAGTCCGTGAGATACGGATTTGATTCAACCTTGAATTGAGAAATGATTACAGTTCTCTTTTTTGTTTTTCTTAAGGTATGATGCGTGCATGGATGTGACAGACAGTGATCACAAGCCAGTCCGGTGTATATTTAGTGTGAAGCTTGCCCGGGTCGATGAATCTGTGAGGAGACAAGAGTTTGGGAACATCATAAACACGAATAAGAAAATCAAGGTCATGCTTGGAGAGTTAAGCAAGGTTCCAGAAACCATTGTCAGCACTAATAACATAATTCTTCAAAACCACGATTCAACGATTCTGCGTATTACGAATAAGAGCGAGAAGAACATTGCGTTCTTCAAAATAATTTGTGAAGGTCAGTCTAACATCGAGGAGGACGGTCAAGCATATGACCACCGAGCAAGAGGCTCTCTCGGGTTTCCCCAGTGGCTGGAGGTCAGTTCTTTCATCCTTGCTGTTTAGCTTTTCCTTATTGCTGATATATGTTATGTTCAAACAACACCCATAAAAAAGAATCTCCTAAAGGTATCTAATTAGAATAATGATCTGGTTCTCTCGATTACTCCGAGTGCTTAGAGAGTTAAGTTTGAAAGTTGTTCACCAAAACGATAAACCAAAGATTATGGTATGCATCATAGGCACCTGTGATATTTTACAACTTAGCCTTGATTATGTCGGCCTAAGAAGTGTGTTATCATTTCAATCTCGTAATGCCTAGGGTCGTGTCAGGCTGGGTTTTTCGGTTTCGAGTAATTCTGGTAATTCGGTTAGGGAGTTTTAAGACCGAAACCACCGAGAAACCGAGAAAATATCGGTTCCGGATACCGGAAGTAAAATTTGGTTTAGTTTTTGATAGAATTTGGTTTAATTTTGCGAAAATTTGCTTAATTTTGACAAATATAAGTAAAGATATTCGAATATTTCGTTTGTTTATGGAATAGTTTGGTTATTTCGGTACATTATAAGTTTATAACTTTATAATTATAATTTTGGCTACTTCAAATGTAAATTCACTATACAGTAAAACATCTATAAGGACTTTTAAATTTTATTAATTTATAGAGTTATTAATTAATTGATAAATTAATAATTATTAATTTATCGTTAAATTAATATTTTTTATACAAAAAATAAAATCAATATTTCCACCAATGTAAAATTTATTCAAAAAATATCATAATAATGAATTTAGAAAATAGATCAAACAAATTTTATAAACTTAAAGCAACAATATTATCATATTTTACTAAATTATATTATTAATATATGTTGAAATATATAATTATTAATTTATATTATTATTGGGACTATATTTTTACATAGAATTTTCAAAAAAAATATTATCTTATTATCTTATCCAATTTTGTCAATTTTTACACTAGTCCGACTTGGGACCGGTAAAAATTATTAATTTATAATGATTATTAATTTATTGAGTATTAATTTATAGAAGTTGTACGGTAACTAATATCTTTTGGTATATAATTGTATTTCCGGTTTTTGGTTTCGGTTCGGTTGGGTACCCGAAATAGCATTAACACTCAGTTCGGTTTTTGGATCTGTTTGTTTCTTTAACACTCAGTTACGTTTGGAAAGGATCTGTTTAATTTATCAAACACACCTAGGAATGTCATATAAGCTTTCAAAATCATTTTAAATCTGCAGATTGCCTTTGTGTAGATCATTTCATGGGTCATCAGAAATTTCCTTGGAAACCATCCCACTAAAATGCTTATTTTCCTTAAAATCAGGTGTCTCCAGGAACTGGAATTATCCAACCAAACCAAATAGCAGAGGTTGCAGTCCATCTCGAAGACTTCCCAACAGTAGAAGAGTTTGTGGACGGTGTTTCTCAGAACTCTTGGTGTGAAGACGCAAGAGACGAGGAAGTCATATTAGTCCTCGTGGTTCACGGAAGATTCTCTATCGAAACAAGAAACCATCGGATCCGTGTGCGTCACTGCCCTCGTGGAGGTCGATCCGCAAATAAACATTACGGCGATAAACCCAGAACCACGGGACAAATAAACGCTCTTCATCGCTCCGATTATCAACCGCTGAGTAATACTCTTGATGTCGTTGAGCAGCTAAGGAACTTGCACAGTCCATAGAAGAAAGCCAATGTCTCTTGGAGGGTTTTTTTTAAGTGTACAGTGAGATGAATTCAACGTCCTCCACGTGTTACGTAATGTGTAGCTCTTTGTCTTTTTTGGAATTCTAATGGGAAAATTTGTGTGAAAGAAAATATTAGCCTTTAACGTTTTTTGTTTAGAGGCTAATTATGTTGCTTATGCTGGAGATATAATCTACCAAATGTTATTTAATTTTCTCCATATGAGTAATAATGGGTTTGTATGTAGTGTAACCTTATTTGATTATGTATTGAGTAATGAATATATTTTATTTTGATCTGTACAGCAGTAGTTGTTTTTATTTTAAAATTTGGGCTGCAGCTTTTAAAATAACATAAGTTTGATTGGTTAGGTTTTACTGCTATAGATATATTTTTGGATGTGGAAACTGTTTTCACGGCCTTAGTTTTTAGTTATAGGCTTTGAATGTGATGTAGATAAAATGCAGTATACATGCAGATCAATATAAATGCAAATCTATCTTCAACAAATCTGCCATTCACACATTTTATTGTGATTAAAAAATATATAATATGCAGATTAAAATTTTGTTGTCTTTTAATGACAAAAGCAGAATAAATTTATTATTCTTTTTTTTTACTAGATCAATGCAGTTCAAACAGTTTTTTTGATCTGCACTTGTTATGCTTCAACTGCATTTTCTATTTGATTTGCATTTTTTGTTTTTGCTTTCCATTCAAATTTATAAGCTCGTCTATGTTCCCAATCACACGGTGTTGGTCTTATCTCAGCGTTATTTTCGCTCGTAATCTTGAAATATGGATGGATTCAACTGAAGAATGGCATATCTAGAGTTAAGTTTATAAACACAGTCCATAAAATACATACAAAAGCAACGATAAACTACTGGCAGAGAATGAAGAGCTGGGTGTCTAAATACGGATCTCATGGCTCATGCAAGAACTGGAAGAGATGTACAGTTAAATCTTGAAACTTTCCAACCATATTTGGATACTAATCAACTTCACCTTCTCTATGTGAACTTAGACAATTGATATGATTAAAGTACTAACATGTCTATAGTTATTTATGTTCAGAAAGAAGGTGATCACTATCATGTAAAATACATTTAGTTCTACTTATACAACAACCAACAATTTCAGACTACATATAAATTTCAATTTGGTTGTTTGATCGAGACAAGAGTTATAGAAAGAAGAGTTGAGAGGATCTTAGCTTTAGGTTTGCAAGGACCAGTCCTACATTGCAAACTACAAGTTCAATAAAAGGAGAAGAATGTGGGTGGTGTGGAGCCCACGAGTTCGAGTCACTCCTTGCTACAAGAGTGCTCAAATCATTATGTGCTCAATTTTGTTGAATGGAGCACATGATGAATTTTTTTGTTCGTTCGCCTATGCATCAAACTGTGCAAAGGAGAGAAAGGAGCTATGGGAGGAACTCAAAATCCACTCTGATGCACCCATGTTTCACAATAGAGTTTGGATCATTTCAGGTGACTTTAATGAGACTCTGGATATGGAGGAACACTGTAACTACTCTGTTTTGCCATCTCTCTCAGCAGGAATGAGGGAGTTTCAGGACATTGTTCAGTACTGCAAATTAACAGATATGCAGTTCCATGACCCCCTCTTTACCTGGTGTAATAAACGGGAACAAGAGTTAATCTGAAAAAAACTAGACAGAGTTTTGGTCGACGATGCTTGGAATGTTGTTTATGCCCAATCCTTTAGTGACTTTGAACCAGGGGGTTGTTCAAATGACTTACGATGCCGTATTCAGTTGGATACAAAAAGTCTCAATCAACGCAGGAAACCATTTAAATTCACCAACGCGTTAACCAATGTACCGGAGTTTTTACCATTGATTTCATCGTGCTGGGAAGAAACAGAGCCTCTGTTTCCTTCCACCTCCACATTACACAGATTTTCAAAGAAGCTCAAAGATATGAAGATCCGGATCAGGAGGCTTAGTAAAGAATTTCTGAAGGACCTAACTAAACGCGCGAAGCAGGCTTTCAAAGTGCTTTGTGATTGCCAAAAGAGTACTCTGCATCAGCCATCTCAATTAGCAATGGAACAGGAAGCTAAAGCTTAAGATACATGGAATCGTTCTGCTACCTTGGAGGAAATGTTCTTACGCCAGAAATCCAAGTTACACTGGTTGCTTGTGGGAGATGGTAATAATCGCTTTTTCATCAATCTGCAAAGGCTAGAGAGATGAGAAATGCGATAAAAGAAATTGAAAGAGATGACGACACTATTGCTAACACACAAGATGAAATTGAAAAGGAAGCAGAGGGTTTCTTCAAGGAGTTCTTATCTCGGAAAATCACTAACCAAGAGATCTCAGAGGAGGATCTCAGGGATTTGCTTCAATTTCGGTGAAGCGAGGGGGACAGGGAGAACCTCAAACGTAATGTAACTGAACATGAGATAAGAGAAGTTCTATTTGCAATGCCCAGTAACAAATCCCCTAGACCCGATGGGTACACATTTGAATTATTCAAAGAAGCATGGTCTGTAGTGGGTGAGGAACTAGTCATAGCTGTTCGAACCTTTTTTTAGCATGGTTTCTTACCAAAAGGAATAATTTCTACCATTTTGGCTCTTATCCCCAAGACAAAGGAGGCAAAAAGAATGAAAGATTACATACCTATTTCTTGCTGCAATGTCCTTTATAAGGTGATATCAAGGTTACTGGCTAACTGCCTCAAAAGGATCTTCCCAAAGTTTATTGCTCCAAACCAGTCTGCTTTCGCCAAGGACAGATTACTCATGGAGAACGTTCTCCTTGCGTCAGAGCTGGTCAAAAATTATCACAAGAAGTCTGTTGCACCACGATGTGCTGTGATAATAGATATATCCAAGGCATTCGATTCCGTGCAATGGCCATTTTTGCTCTCCACTCTTTCGGCTCTGAATATCCCGCACGAGTTTATACACTAGATCAGCCTCTGTATCTCAACGACTTCCTTCTCAGTACAAGTAAATGGAGAACTAGCAGGGTACTTCCAAAGTGAGAGAGGTCTCCGACAAGGATGCTCTCTCCCATCTTATATGTCCGTCATTTGTATCCATGTGTTATCAAAGATGCTCAACAAAGCATCAACAAATCAGTTAATTGGCTATCACTCTTACTGCCAGAACCTCCATCTCACTCGCTGATGATCTATTGGTATTCTCGGATGAAAAAAGAGGTCCATAGAGGGGACACTTGAGGTTTTTAAAAACTTTGCTAAGATTTCAGGGCTAAATATAGTCTTATAAAAATCCACCCTCTACTTAGCGGGAGTATCCGAGGAAACAAAGGACATAATTCTGGACCAATTTCCTTTCGATAATGGGGTCTTGCCAGTGAGGTACTTGGGTATCACACTGCTGACAAAACAGATGACGATAAACGATTATGTGCCACTGCTGGAGAAAATCAGAGGACGAATAAGCACCTGGACTGCTCGCTCCCTCTCAGAAACTACTTCTTGCAGACTATACAACAGAGTGGTACGATCATTGGATTCCTGGTAGATGAATCCAGAGAAATCATCTCTCAGTTCTTGCTGCGATATGTCTTCCAAGCTACGATTCATTCCATTTGGCGGAAACCAAAATAGTAGAAAGCATGGCAAAGCTCCTATTATGTTCTCTCAATTAATCCGCTTGATTGACAAGCAAATTTGGAATCCACTTTCCACAATCAAAAATCAAAGAGATACACATTACGAAAAAGGGATGGAGAAGTGGATTTCAGTCCGATAATCAGTAGAAAATATATAGAAGTGAACAGAATTTTCATTTCTCATTTAAATCTCAGATACATTCTCTTTAACAAAGTTTTTTCCGCTGAATTAATTTACAATATTTTCATTCAAAAAAAAATTTAACGGTTGCATGTGTCCTCTCTTCGTTTGTATGTTACTGTTCTTGGTCTCTACTGTAAAAACTCAAATTCGATCTAAAGACTGAACAAGAGTTTGTGGATTTAAAGAGAGATCTTTATTAGAATTGAGCCGGAGCTTGAGAGATACAAGATAGTTTTAGGTCGTCGGAATAAGAACGCCGACCTAGACTTTTAAGGAAAATAAATCAAGAGCTAAGAACAATTAGATTGCTTAATCTGTCTTAGGTCTCGAGGAGTGATTTTCGGATAGGTTGAAGAGTCGAGGACTTCCTACATTTATAGCCGATCAGGTCGGTCTTCAATCTGCTTGAAATAGGAAACTCTTGTCAGCAAGGAGTTTCCTTTTTCCCCGGGTCGATTGATAAATGGAAGATTCCTTTTATGTTATCGACCTGGAACTTGTTAGACGGGCCGACCAGAATTCGTATCGGGCTTGTTAGAGATGGTACAGATCTCATCTCTAACAGTAAGTCCCCCCCCCCCCCCCCCCAGTTCGGCAAGTGAGGGTACATTACTTGGTAAAATTCATGATATATTGCTTGATATGCATTCTGGTCGGCTATAAAAAAGAGTTAGAATAAAATTAAAATTATTACCTGGACTTCTGATCGGCGCGGTGATGAGGGCCAGATTGTGATTTTGGGCGCAAAAAGTTCCCGCCTAAAAGATGACGTAGGCTAGGCCTAGGTTTGCGCATGCAGAACTAGGGTTGACACGTGTCAGATATTTCTCGGTAACCGTCCAGATATTTCTATAAATAAGGGGGACTCGGCTTCAATTTCCTCACTTCTGCATTTCTAGCAAAACTCTATCAAAATCAGGTTTGCTCTCTCCCCTTTCCCTTGTTCTCTTTTTATTTAGAATTTTAGATCTGCCGACCAGACCTCCGCCGTGTTTCGTTCTGAACGCCGATCGAGCATGGGTAAAAGCATTCAAATCAGGGAAAGACGACCAGGCTCGGAGGAAATCAGATCGGCGCAGAAGAGAGCTGACGACCAGGTCGATAAAAGCCGATCGAAGGGAAAACGGGTCGTCGTTGAGGAATCAGAGTCGGATCGGTCCTCGGATGCGAGCGAGTTATCGGCGTTGGATCGTGCGTTCCAAGAACGCGTTCGAGAGAAGAACCTGCAAGCTGCGGCCGATCGGTTCCACGCCGATCAAGTTGGAATCGTCCAGAGGTCTGGGGTGGCATCGTCCAGGGTCGAATTCGAGATTCCCGAATTGTGAGATGAAGACGATGTGAGAGGCGGATCGAACGAGATGGATATCTCGGACGAGCTAAACGCCATTATTGTTGAAGATGAAGTAAATCAGTTCAGAATTATCGACATGAATCCGCCAGTAGAGAGAGTTAAGAGGCGAAAAGGGGAGCCGGCAACTAAGCCGATCTGCGACAACGCTCTCGGGGTGATGCCGACCAAATCAACTTTAGAATCACTGGTTACCTTGA